CTCTGGCCTCCCCCTAATTCTGGAACATGACATTCATCTCCTTAGGATTTGCACCAGCCAACGCTCACTTGCAGACAGCAAAATCCAAACTACCTATTTTAAGTAGAAGGAGGTTTTAAAAATAGAGTGTTAAGCCAGTCGTAGTGGTGCCCACCTATAATTTTAGCACTCTGGGAGGCTGAGGCAGGAGGATTCCAAGTTTGAGTCCAGCCTGGGCAATTTAGCAACTTAGTGAGACCATGTCTCAAAATGAATTTTTAAAAAGTGGAGATATAGCTCAGAGCAAAGGCCCTGGGTTCAACCCCTAGTACCAATAAATACATAAATTTTGAAACAATTTTACAGAGTCAGATCCTAACAGCTTCTGGGAATGACCCTCAAAGCCATGTTGCAGCACAGGCGTATGAAGGGCCATTGCTCTTACCCAGTTGGGAGAACTATGATAGCCCCGGAGAACCCCGAAACTTCCCCAGTCAGGAAGCTGCCAGTGCAGACAGCTTAGCTGGTGAAATGGACGCCTGCCTTCCAGTGTAGCCTGGCTTGGATTTTAAATCTCACAGAAATGTGTTTGATGGGTGGCGCTCACAATACTTGGAAGCATGGCTGGCAGTGAATGTGAGACAGCCTTTTCCAACCTTTTACTGTTAAAAGGCCCATGAGAGGAGCCAGGCACGAAAGTCAAGTCCTGGGACCCACCCAGAGGGCTCCATGGAACCTGACACAGAAATAGTTCCAATGTGAAAGTTTTGTTGCTTTGTTTACTGTCAATGAAAGAAAAATATAGTAAGTGGAAAATAAACATTCACTCTTTGTCTGGTTATGCCAAATACCTCTGGTGTCTCTGATGCCAAAAACAGCCCATTGCATGCTATGTGTTATAAACTGCCCTCAAGGCAGAAAAAGGTGCAGACAATAGCTTCAATTTTAGCATCCCGTAAACAAAGTTTTCAAGAATCTGTGCAATCAGAAATGAGTACTTTTGGAGCCAAGGAGGTGTTTTGGGTAGGGGCCAGGCAGCTGCCTCAGTTTACCTTCTTGGTCTGCCTATTGTCCCGAGTCCCCCTAGCTCAGGACTATCGGTCTCCGCTGGAGCGGGAGGTCCCCGTGGCCTCCGATTCCAAGCTCTCCCTGTCGGGTTATTCCTGAGAGTTGCCTTTGCTAGGGAACAGCAGGACATCTGGCATGGGGTGGCCAGGAATGGAAACCTAACCTGCTTCTTACATACCATGGTTTCTCATATTGGCCACTTCCTCTCCCAAGCTGGACCTCAGTCTTCTCCTTCATGTAATAAAAGGGACACATATTCCCAGGTTAACTGCAAACATGTTCTGTTTTTATTGTACCTTTTTTTCCTTTTCTTTTTGAGATGCAGTGTTGCCGTGTTGCCTAGGCTGACCCTGAACTCCTGAGCTCAGGCAATCCTCCTGCCTCAGCCTCCCAAATAGCTGAGACTACAGGCACATACTACTGTGCTTCATGTTGAAGCACCTGCCTCACACCAGAGCCCTCACTAAGCTCTGACCTTGCTGTTCCCTCTACCACTGTTGCACAGCTTTGTGTTGTCCCAGGTAGTGAGATCAGCTTGGTGCTGACAACGCCTGGGACACAGCATTTGACAGTGTGGTTAAATTTATCTGTGTCCCCTCTATGATTTGTATCATTGGAGTCTTACCTAAGATCTTCCTGATCTGAGCTGCAGTGACATTTTGAGTATTGTCTTTTAAATAATGTACAAAGATATCCCCATGCGTTGTCTTCTATTAGGCTCCCTCCTCCCCCTCCCCTCCCCCTCCCCTCCCCCT